AAGAGAGAGAGAGAGAGAGAGAGAGAGAGAGAGAGAGAGAGAGAGAGAGAGAGAGAAACACCAGTAGCACCATATACAAGACCAAAACTAGTCAGCTGCCAAAACCCATGTAATAAGAAAAGTGCATGTAGTTCTCACTGAGGCTAGCATTAAAGCCGAAGATTATGAAATAAGATATTATCTTTATCTGACTTGCAAATTACCAGACAAATGAATTCTGCTGCCGCACAAAGTGAGAATTTTCCACCATCACCGAGCCTCGTTATGAGGAAAAGGGAAGGTTGAGCGACAGGTCACAGTCAAAGTCCAGACGACTCCGCAACTTCGCATTTTTTCAATCTGAAAGCAACTCATCCAACTCAGGCTCCTCAGACGACAAATCGTCATATTCCGTGCTTGTCTCATTGTACAAAGTGTTACCCTGCTGATTTGTTACATCACCATCCTCCTCGGGGTCCGACAATTCCAGCTCATCATTCATATTTTGATCTTCAATGGCTAAATCCACATATCTTTTCATCGGAATAGACCCCTTGCCAGGTTCCTTTAAAACCGAATCTATCTTTTTTTCTGCCTCGGAATTTTCACAAATACAAGCAGCCGGGTTCTCATGAAACGCACCCCTGCCCGGCCTCACCTCCTTAGGACCCCCCATGAATCCCCTCTGAAATGTACGAACACGTGAGGAGAATTCGTCCCATGTCATATTTTCTCGGTTTGCAAACAGCCTGTACAGCTTTTTCGCGTTGGGGCGGATTGTAGGTTTGTGCCCGAAATATCTCCTGCAAAAACAGATAAGAACAACGTTTAGTTTATCTTCTTTTCTTCCCATTCGAAACGCATCACTCGACAAAGAAAGATGGAGATCCGTTCATAGTTCTACAAAAAAAAATATAATAATAATAAAAAACAATTTCACACCTAATGGGATCCGGCCTCAGGCTGCTTACACATAAAATCTAAATCCCACCAAAAAACTTACTCAAGGATCAATTGAAAAGTAATAAAGGCACATACCTTCTCCCTGCTAATATCTTTGCCATGTTGCCATTGTTGTTTGTAACAAACACATCACTCTCATCACAAGCTATGAAATCTAGTGCAGCCATTCGTGAAGAAAAATCATAAAAGGGTTTCAGTTCCTCTTGGTTTGCTAGGGTATCTTTTGAATAGAAATTGGGGAAAAGAGCTTTTAGTGGGGCCAACGTTGCTTCCCCTCCATATACTTCTCCAGAGGCTACAAATATATGGGTTTCTTGGTCGTACGCAAGTGCTCTTAGTAGAAGACCAACTTCCTCTGGGGTAAGTGGACATTTCCCTTGCCTTCTTTCCCTATCTGGATTAGGAGCCTACAAAATCAAATCAACAATTAGTAACTAGTGTCCTTCATATGCCTTGATACTTTCTCTATCTATGTATCTGCTATTTTTCTCTCTATTCTTTGAAAAAATTACTAAGACAAGCCAAGTGGGAATTATGTGTATTTAGCATCCATACTGCAAATCTGCCAATGAACATTTTCTTCCCAGTTAACTGAAAATCTTAACTAGCAGTTTAATTCAAAATGTAGCGCAATCTATAACATAAATGTAGACCACAGCCCAGCCGCTG